ATATTCTTTCTATATATATATAGTTTATGTAGCAGTCACAAATAGATTGATATAACACACTAGCCAATTAAAATATAGTGGTACGTAAAAATGATACGCAAAAGTAAACAAAATTTTCGATCCAGTAATACGCAAAGGTATGATCTAAAGTAATACATAAAAGTATGATCCAATTTTTCGATAGTAATACGTCAAAACATAGATCAATTTTTTGACATGAAGTAGTAGTACCCGAAAGCATCAACTATACGAGAAAGGCTTTCAGAGTCCCAAAACATAGCGTACTCGCGGTGATACGTCAAGGTAGAATATTATAAGGAAGTAGTAAGAGAAAATTGCGCTTTGGCGTATCACCAAGTGGGGTATCAATTCGGCACTTCGTGCCTCATCCTCGCAAACGAAAAAGTTGGCAGTTCGTCTAGGAAATGTATTGTTTATAGCGATATAAGAAATGTGTATTATTTACGAATTGGTTTTTTTGGTCCAAAGTGGGGGATAGAGGTTCTATTTATACGTTTTTGTGGCAATTTATTAGACTACTAGCACATGATCACGAAATAGTTTAATGTATTAATAATTACATCATTACATATTTGCAAGCTAGGACTCTTTGTATCCAGTTCTGGCATAGCCCTCACAATTTGCACGAGATATATGAAAGTTCGAATGTGGCCAAAAACGCGGAATTCGCCGCATTCGAATGTGGCCAAACATTCAGAATTGGCCACGTCGTTATCCTGATGATAGTTCGCATGTGGTCTGACGACGAAAATTGGCCACATATGAATTTCTAGACTACAATCAACCCATCTGGGCGGCTAAAAATTAAAAATTGGCCGCACTCAAATGTGGTCAAAAAAACGAAATAGGCCACATAGGTAGGTAACAGTCTACCGTAAGTAGGTAACAATATATATATATTGTTACCTACTGGGCTCAATCATAACTATAATGAGCAGTAGCATCAATACTGCAATATTGTGTTTTACCTTGAAAATAATTTTGATCAACCAGTTTTCTTTGCTCTTCTGCTAATTTAGTGGATTTATTGTAATAATTTCTTTCTAATTTGGCCTTGGACAGATGTTCTTTAAATTTTTTAAGCAATTCTTTAGCTTCTTCTTCTTGGTGAGCATTGTAATGTAAACCATTTCAAAAATGTTGACAAGTATCACACAAGTCAGTCCTGGGGCTCATAATTTGAATTTCTGATGTCAATTGATGTCATAATTTTCTGAAGGCATCATATTTTAAGGATTTCAATTTGCTATCTTCTTTTAGACCAGCTAGAAAATCTCTGTGTATTGATTTATAACTCATTTCAGCTGGTAAGAATACAATTGATTGAGTTATTCTATTGACACTTCTGCCTGGACTTGGTAATCCATGGACTTCTGCATAATTTTCTAGAAAATTCTTTATTATTTCTGCAACATTTTTATCAATCACCATTTTAGTTTTCCATTGAGGTATTCTTTTTAATATTACCATGAATTCTTGGTAGAAGACCATTGTTTATCAAATGATTTCTAATATTTTCAAAATAAGTCCTGCCAATTCCCAACATATTGAGATAAGTTTCTTGACAAAGAAGTGTATTGTGATCTCAGTGATAGAAAGTTCTTTTGTTAGATCTAGTTTTCTTTTTAAGGCATCTGCTGGTGCTTATTAATCCCCCATCTGTTGCTTTAAGTTGGGCCATTAAAAATATGTCTTGTTCTACTTTAAGAAGAGCTTGAAAAGATTCTCTTAATTCAGCAAATTGTTCTTTGGGAATTCTTGAAGAACAATCACAATTACAACCTTTTTCTAAAAAATCAATTGCTTTTTGATATTCATTAGAACCATTATGATTATTATTTACATTACTTTTCATATACACTTATTCCTATATATAATTTTATAATTTTTTGTTCACTTTGTAGTTTTTTATGATTGTTTTAAAATTGAAAGGAAGTATATGAATGGAATTAAACTTAGGTGAAACAATGGAATGGTTTTAGCTAATGATTTAAAAGATATGATTGTGATATAAATTGTGAAGAGAAATTGAAAATATTGGTCAATTGGCTCCATGAAAAATAATTATGGTCTAGATTTAAATTGGTTTATCATTATCAATAATCAAAATGGGAAAAGACAACTTAAAAAACAAACAATAAATGAATATTTGTAATATTTTACTTCATCAATAACAAGTTAATAAAAAGTGATTTTGTCCATATGGGCTGATTTGTTCAGTGTTGGCAAATGACCTCAAAATGACCAAATCATGTGATGATTTTAATATAAGTTACATATATGAAATGACCTAGGTCATTTAAAAAAATAGCAAATGACCTTGAAAATTGCCAACACTGGATTTGTTTGATCTGCAGATCAAAAATGTTTTTTAATTAAACATTTAAAAATAAAATCTCAATTAAATCCATTGAATAGAAGAATAGAACACTAGTTTGTCTCTTGTACCATAAACATCTCTTGTTATGACGATATAATTTCAAAGATATAGTATTTAGTTAAAGTAACAGTTTCTCTAGTTATTGAAATATTAAAATTTGATTTTATGATTTTAACAAAATACAAATAGATTATTCCCATCTAAATTTATGTTGTAATTAACAACATCATCATCACCAACACAAATACAAACACAAGTGCAAACATAAACATCAACTTCAAAATCAACACCAGTGTCAATTTCAACATTAAAGCCAACACCAATTTCTGTAATTAATATGTTAATGATGATTATATGCATGTTTAGTACAGCACAATCCTTGCAACAGGTACTGTATGATACAGTAGTGTTAAAATGAATATAGTACAGTACTCATAATAAGATACATGTATATAGATGTGTGATATGGTATTATGAAAAATATTTAAAGAATATTTAAGTAGGAAAAGACAATGGTTGGTTAGTAGAAAAGTAACTAAAAACAATCAGATGTTAACTTTAATTATAGATAAATGATTAATTAAATTTATCAAATTGGTTTTAAGAGTTGTATTAAATACTTTCGATGGCATGAAAACTTCTATGAAGCTAATTTATTTCAGCCAAAAATAATATATTGTCTTGTAACATTTAATACAACTCTTTTTTTTAAAGTGTCAATTGTACAAGTTTAATTTGGTTATTGTCTTTTTATCAGATCAAATTGGAGAACCATCAGGATCACTATCTTCATTTGTATCTTTAATCCTGATTTTGTGCTTGTCTTTATTTGGAGTGAATGGATATGATGGGAGACTTCCAGAAAGCTTTGATGATTTGAATAAATTATTGTTGTTCTCATCTCGCAATTGAAATATTATTTTTGAAGTTTCCAACAATCCACACTGTGTATCAAAGAGACTGATAAGTTAATGGCAAGGCATTATAAAATAAATCATTGATACATACCTTGAGATCCCAAAACAGAATGGCAAAATCAAAAATATGCCTACAATGTTCTTCATAACAAATTGGTACAATCAATTTATGTAAGCGTTCATATTGCAAAACACCACAAGCCGGATTATGCATCAGCCATAATTCAATCCGATCCTCTATGAAATGCAGAAGGTAAAACAAAACTATTGGAAAAAAAAAATTAAGAAAAAAAAAAAGATACTTACCATAAGTGTGCAATGAAAAAACTCTTAATTTTGAAAAAGTTTCAGGAGAACCACCACGAAATTGCTCTCCAATTTCTTCTAACATATAAGAATTCCCAATTGGTAGTTTACAACAACCATCCCATGTGGACCAAGGAATATCTTTGTGTCTGTATCCTCTGCTCATTTCCAAGTGGCCCACCTCTATCAATGTTTTTTTTAACCTTACAAAAAATATTCCATCTGATTTTTGTTCATAAGAATCTTCACATTTTCATTGTTTTCTGCAAGACTTTACAGACGATAAAACTTCCTCTCCCCTTAAACAAAAAAGGTCAATATACACAATATCTATTGAAAACATCAAACATCACCTTAAATAAAAATTAAAAGCCATTTACATGTGATAATATAGACAAGATTCTAAACCAACAAATATTTTTTTTAAGCAAGGATGTATCAAGTAACCTCCATAATTTGCTTCTGGTACATCTGGCTTTTGTAAAATAGAATTTTCCATAAAAACCTATTTATGTCTACAGGCAGAAGTTTTAGTGGATAAGCAGACTAAATCAATATTTTTATAAGCAAAAACAGTCAATACTTACAATAATGATAAAATTTTCACGAAAAAAGTAGTGAATGGATCCTCAAGATATGGGGTTGGAAACGTTATCTTGATCTTTTCCAAATAATTCAAGAACTGGTCACTCCCTGTTGATTTAATAATTTCTTTAAAAAGTTGAATATTTGTATTTAATTTAATTTTTTTTATTTCAAATTCTAGAGATTCTAATGATTTTTCCTATGAACAATATTTATAATTTATGATATTTAGAAAGGAAGTAAGAATAAAGCAAGTAACAATAATTGACAAAAGGAAAAAAAAATACTACTTTCAAAAGTTTGATAAAGTGCTTTGGAGGATTCTTAAGGCTTGGATGTTTTGTATAACTTTGTATTTCGGCATACTCTTTGGCATTGCACCATTTTGGTTTTGCTATTTTAAATCCACAACGAATGATACCCCAAACCTCTGGCCTAAGAGTTCAAATAATTAAAATAATCATGCAGATACATGCAGACATAAAAAAATTCTAATCATTTGCAATTTACCTCAGGGGATGACCTTCAACACTCAATGCTTTATTCAACAAGTCAATAACTACTGACCCAGACTTCAATTTCCAACTCTTCCATGAATTATAATCAAAAGAACATTCAGAATAGGGAATCATAATTTCATCAGTTTCTTGAATTACTAATTTTGGATCAATTTCCATGCCTTCCTTGTAATTTGGAAGTCCTTTATCAAAAACTGAGATCCAACTAGATCTTGAAAACTAATAGAAAAAATATTTAATACAATAGCAAAACAACTTTCTTCCCTCTATCTCCTACCTTGGATGAACCAACAAAAGGGTTTATTAGGTCATCTTCATGTAGTGGTATGGTACAACAGTCTTGATTAACCTTTTTTGAAGGTTGTGATTCATTATAATTTATATTTTGCCTTTTTCTTAGAACATAGGCTTTTTTATCTGTGGCCAATTTATCCTAAATGATATACCAAATAAATCATAAAGGTTTGAAAATAATTGAGCAGTAAAATAAGGGAAAAATGTCAATTACTTGTCTATCCTCATGAGGGTACAGACCAAGAAGGTCTTGATGTTGAATATTCATGACATGTTGTTGGCTTTGGTTTGTTGCTCTGAAGATGTGCAAAATACCATCAGCCTTGTAAAAGAGACATGTTAATCATTAATGTTTGGATTGTCATGTTGACAGACAAACACACCAATTTCATAGTACCATTCACTTACCCTTGCAATATTGATCTGATCCTTTAGTTCCCTTTGATGATCGATCTCTTTCCAGAAAATAGCAACATTTGGATCAGACATTTGACTCTAATAAAAAAATTAATAATACCAAAAAGAAAAACATGCTATAGGTCTTCCATGACGATCTAGAAAGTCATCAATAGAGCATCTAGAAGGTGCCCTTTAGTTTAATTTGGCCACGACGATCTAGAAGGTCGTCAACAGAGCACCTAGAAGGTCCTTTGCCTAGTCATGGCTGATATTTTAATGAGGCATCTAGAAGGTGCCTTTTAATTTCATTTCGCTATGACAATCTAGAAGGTCATCAACAGAACACCTAGAAAGTGCTCTGCCTAGTCATGGCGAATACACTTACTTACCTTCAAGATACAAAGCGACATCTGGGCCCATTCTACTCGTTCATTGTTAAAATGATTCTCTTTGTTATTTGCGATTGTCTCCAAATTTTTCTTTAGCCAGGTATTCTCTTTATGAAAAATTCCACTGAAATCATTTTGTTGTTTTCTAAATTTGTAGTATCCATGAATGGTCCAATATTCAGATGGCGTATCAAAGTATGTGAGATTGGTATTTTTGGTATTCAACATCAAAGCAGATAATATTTTAATAATCAAAACGTCACACAGTAAATTGTTTTTAACACAGCCACATGTTGTTTTAATGAAAATCGTTCTAAAGTTGATAATTTTATTTCTAAAAACAGCATGATTTTCATTAAAACTCAACTCGATTAAAAGCTTGATTAATTCGTAAATATACCCTTATAATTATTATATCCCACATCAAAGTAGAATTTCATTATGGCCTTCATGAAGAAGTAATAGTCAGAGAGCACATCAAACATATGTTGTTACATTAATATAAAAAATTATTTGTGAGTGGTTAAATTTTTTAGCATGTTACATTGGAATTATTAAATTAAAAAACGAATGAATTCTCCTCATGTTGTTGTAAACATTATTTACATATTTACATATGTTGGAATATGGAGATATAAGAATTTTTTTTTTGATAAAAACAAAAAAGAATTTCTATTAATCTATCAGTTACTTTTATTTTTTGTAATAAGAATTTTTATTGCTTCTTCTTCACCAATGGCTGGATCCACACGTAAACAATTCTTAAAATGAAATTTATATTAAAAAAATCAAAGCTACTATAAGCAGTATGATAATAATAAATTAAAAGTTTTCGGCAACGTTATTATTATGAACGTTTTGAATTTACAGTCAAATGGGCAAATAAATTTTTCGAATATTTTTAATGATTGACACCAAAAATTTCATATTAACTATTTTTATCTAGAGACAAAATGAATATCGTGATCACATTTAATGTTCTATGTCGCAATTCAAAAAAAGGAAGGCAAAGTGGTCGCAAAGATGATTGCAACACCTGGTTGCAATCATATCAAAAATTGCGACCAGTATCTATAGATCACATTACATTGGTAAAATACAGTTGTGATGTTAAAATTTTTGATCCCTGAAATCATTGGTAATACCAATGTTCACTTTGTCTGGTTTTGTTGCAGCATGCCCCATATAAGATTAATGACAAATATATTCATTTTACTTCTGTTTGCAAACAAACTATAAATGATAACAAAATCAAAACAATTATAATAAACATAAATAGTGAGTGAATTATTATTAAATGATTAAAATATATATAGTTGTTTAATGGTAGATCTTTTTTTGAAGAAAACAAATATTAATATGATGTTTGTCATATACAATAAAATTATTAGTAGTAGTAATTATTATTTATTACCATATTTTTCTTCTATATTGATTAATTTGATTTTTATCTTTTGGTGAAAGTTATCCCAGTTCAATTTCTTTTCCTTTTCCTTTTCCTTTTCCTTTTCCTTTTCTTCTTTCAAATTTTCAACTTGTCCCATCCCCTCACACCCCATTTAACAATACAATCTCAGATGTCAACTTCGTTCCCTAATGATAAATTATATCTTTCCAATATTGACAAAATCATTGATTTTCAATACTTTTATAATCATCATAAAAAATAATCCAGGGTTTTCACAAATAAATTAGCACAATAATCATAAACATAATGAATGACAATCAATATTGTGATGAAAATTTTATAGATGTAAATTAAATTTTCGTAGCGACCAAGTTAAATGATTTTATAAGTCTTCAACCGGTTCATTAAAACACAATTAATCACATGTTTCAAGTAGTTAAAGAAATTCATCTGGATTCATATCATTAGTATTAACAACTCCACTATAAATATATCTTTAAGAACAAGTAATTATTATAAAAAATAAAATTATCTTACGTTAAAAGATCTTGGTGAAATGTGTTTTTTCAAACATAATAATGCCCTTTCATATTTTTTTATCCAAATATCTGATAATGCTGCTTTAAAATATGAAAACCTTGTTCTCAAAATTGTAGAATAAGCTTTAAAGGTTTTAACATTGTCATGTTCTACTCCAACCCTAATTTCTATACATAAAAAATCTGATTCATTTAATAAATCTACTAAATAATTTACAAGTTTGCTTTATCAGAACTTATAGATTGATCCAAAGGAAGAAGAAGACTGACCCAATGGATCTTTTAAAAAGGACAATGACAAGTTGCAGATCAATAATCATCATAAATTTTGTTACACGTAAATCACGTGAAAGTCACGAAACAATGTAAAGTATGAATGTGTGCGTTTATCTCTAACTCCCGAGGTTGGGAATGAGACATAGGGTTCATTTATGGAGAGTGTACATTTATTAGAAAATTCACTTATGGAGGGTTCACTGTATATATCTATATTTTTATATTGTTAAAATGTCACTTTATAATTTTCACTGGAAATAATTATTACATGCAGTTTAACTCAATAAACCAGTGTCTCGACAAATCAGCTCCAGCTATTCTTTTGAATTACATCAATTTCAAGCTCCCTGATAACTCTCAAATGTTTACAGACTATTAAATTCTCACCAAAAAAAATGAATTATTAATTAGTAATAAAAATCAAATAATGGAATAAATCGAATAATTTAATCAGTATTTCTTCAACACTTACGCAGTACCACGTTCAAAGTTCTCTCTGATTTCTTGAGTATATTTATCATAGAACCTGGCAATCTTTTCATTAAATCTTCTATTACGTTCATTAATATATGTAATATCTTCTTCTTCGTTGATTGGTTTTTGCCGTGAAAATTTATCTCGTTTTTCAATTCTGTTGATAAAAATTTAATAAATATACAAAGGATAAATTTTTTTTTGAAAATCCAATAAATGAAATAATAATTTTCCATACTGTTTTTTAACATCATTAACAACTTTATCAACAGCTTCTCGACTAGGACTAGTATCTAAAGATGCATATTGTAATGAATTGGCGTCTCTGAAAAAACTTGAATCAGCATCAACAACAACAACTTCTCCATCTGCTGTTGTAATTTGACTTGCTGATGCCATTGCCAATGCCTTTTTTTCATTATAGCCTGTAATATCTGGTGTAAATTCATTAATCATACGTTTATATTTTTTTTGTGCAACTTGATTATAATCTTTTATTATTGTAAAGTAGGTAGGGAGAGAAAAGTTTAATATTTTTAATAAAAAAATAATATATTCATATTATTCATATTTAATTATTTAATTACCCGTAAAAGCAATATTAGACCTTTTCAATTTCTTTTGTTGTTTCTTTTCCCATTTTTCTACAGCTTCTGCTGAGTACTCCCAAAATTTCTTTCGTTCATAATCTTCTCCATTTTCTATTGCTTCCTATCAATATAAAATCAATTTATAAATCCAAATTCTATATGTGAAAATATATAATATAAATATATAACCAACCTGTTTTTCTTGTAATTTTTCTGCTTCTTCTCTTAATCTTTGTATGTGAATAAGTTCTTTGGGATTAGTTTTTTTACGTTGATGCTCTTCGTAAAGATCTTTCCTATTTGCTTGTTCTGCGTCATCCTGAGATCATTTGTTAAATTACTAGAAATCTATAAAAGATGTTTTAAGAAATTCATAGTTTAATACAAACCTTTCTTAATCTGAGTTGCTTTAATCGCTCAAGCCTCTCTTTCATTTTATCTATTTGAGGCGACTCTTCTTCTTTGTTGTTGTTATCATCCTCCTTATTAGAATCATTTTTATTGTGTTCATTTAATTTTTTAGTTTTTTGTTTTTTTTTACCCATGTTTATTATTTAAGGAAATTTTGTTAAATGTTCAATTAATTTATGTGCACGGATACGCAGCAAAATTTTTAACAAGCACAAGGAAAATTTTTGTCTGCGCATTTTTCGTGCCAAATCCCAACTATGGCCTTTTACATATCCAACTAATCAGGGGGATCATATTTAAAGATGGCTTCTCAATTAATTGCGGCATATAAAAATTGAATTACGGTTGCGGTTGCGGCGTATGAAAATTGAATTGCGACTAATTGCTCCATCTTTACCTATATTAATATTAATATATTTTCTTTTGTTTTGATAATATTCGTATTCGTATTTTTTATTGATATTTTATATTCGCATTTTTATCATTTTATATTTACATTAAGAAGAGATTATCGTAAAAATAATGCCACTTTTTGACCTATAAAACATTTAGTTGGAAATTAAACAATAGGATTTTAATTGTTTTTGCCCACAATTTAGGTTTCGCTTCATGGAGAAATTAGGCCTAAATCAAAAGTTGCCTAAATAATAACTAGACTATGGGTTAGTTCCGGTCGCCACTAGTCTTGAACTGCATCTTGCGTCACGAATTGTTTTCGCTTTTTATATTTAATTAATAAAATTTAGGTAAATCCCAAAATTTGCTTTTTCCGTTTGGAGCTTTGACTGTTCCAAATCAGAAAGAGAGAAAGGTTTTTGCTCTTCTTCGTTGAACTCATAAAATTCTTCATCCTCCTTTTATTCTTCTTCAAATGGCAATTCATCGTTTTCAACTTCGCCTTCTTTCTCGTCATTCTCTTTTACTTTCAATTCAGGTAACTTTTTCTTTTATTTCTGGTACCAGAAAATCCAGATTTAACAACTCTAAATTAGTTATTAATTCAAAATCTGGAAGGTTTTCTTTGTTATCTAGTACTAGTAATTTATTAGCTTCGGCGGTTTCTTCTTGAATGGAATTTCTTTTTAACCAATTCCACCAATTGTTGTCTTAATTAATCTGATGCCCCGTTCAGTTCTGATTTATCTATTCTTAGCAAATCATCAAGAGAATGATCATTAGGATTAGTTAGGATGTTTTGAATTCTTACAATATTATGAATAGCAGGAATACCACTTTCTTCTACAACAATTTCTTTATATTAAGTCTCTTGCTTCAATAAATCCCACTACTTTTAAATTTGACATGGCTGATTTGGGATAATTGAGTCAAAGCCAAATTAATTTTGACAACATGTATAGTCATTATTGTTTGTTTTATTAAAGATATATAATTAATTATATATACAATAAAAAAATTGCATGGAATCCAATACTGCACCACTATTCTTACTGAGGGATAGGGTTTATATGCGATTTAAAATTCTTTTGTGCTAGTTTAAAGTCTCACATTCATTTTTAGTAACTTGTAACAATTCTTTTCGGATCGTTTAACCATCTAAAGCTACACCAAATAATATCATTATAACTTGTTTGATCACAATCTCTCTAATTAATTAACACGCCATAATAATAATAAATATTTTCCGATTGATATGATATCAAACGCAAAGTTGTATACCCTATTATTTGTAAAGCAAAGATAAAATATATTGATACAATTATTTATTGCCTATTAATATAGTAAAGAAATATGTTCATTTATATATATTTTATTGCCTATTATTTCGAAAAAATCTATTTTAAGTATATAAACCAACAATTATTATATAAAACCTTCAAGTTTAGAGTTAAAATTTGCTTTACAACATCCACGTGAACAAATTGATAATTATCATAATGTCTATTACTCTAGTAAATAAAACTTTTAATTGATGAACACCTTTAATAATAATTAAAAATTAAATTAAATTTTCTATATCATATAAAAAATAGTTCGTTGTTTGAATTTTAATTCCAGAAATACTCCTGAAATTTTCCACGGATTTGCAAGTCCATCTTTTCCCTGTAGTATTTCTATGAATATGTATGATACAGAAAAACATGGAATTTTAAATCACGGATCATTTTTTTTTACAGGGCATTGCATAGCGTATTATAATTTATGTTTAATTAAAAGTTCGTAACGTTATTAAAACAGTTTTTGTAATTTCTCTAAAACTATTAACCAAAGTAATATTCAATATGAAATATTAGTAGAGTATTTTGCCTATCAAAGCCATAATTTTACGGAGAATTCTCTTAATATATTTAAAAGTTTCAGTTTATTTTATTTTTAATAGTTTTCTTGCAGATGGTAGGTAACATATTAAATATATCTCTCAACTATTAATTACATATTAATTAATAAACTGAACGCAGGCTTTTTCGTCCATTCTTAATTTAATGTTAAAAAAATCAGTCATTTCATAATATCTGGGAAAAACCTAACCTGAGTGATGAAAGGTCACATTATAGCACCTCTTTCAAGTGCAAATCCTTTAAATTTAGAAACAACCTTTATCCTTTAACAAAATCGTACTAATGTTAATTTAGGTAAAGACCCACATGGACATTTCACAGTATTAAATTATCTTTCTTTCCGATTTCTTTTCTTTTTAGGTTCTTCATGACTTTGTGTTGATGTTCTTTTATTGGTTATGATATTTCTTTCTTCTTAGTAAATCCATAGGTAATCTTTTCTTTCCTTGGATAGTTTTCAAGCATCCGAGTGTCATTTAATTTTCTCATCTTGTTCTTTCTTCAAAATACTTCTACTGTAATTCTTAGGTCCCATAGCAGATCTGATATAAACGAGTTTCATATAAGGTTGCTTGCCAAAATCTCTTAATGACTGCCGAAACTCTGCCAATTGATTTCTGGAAAAGTTGTGGCAAGCAACCATAGTTTCATATCAATTATTTTTTATGTAAGAGTAATTCTATGCCAACATTTCATTAGATAATAAACTAAACTTCAATTATCTGTTTTAATTAAAATTCGCCTTGAAAACTCTCACATTCAACACTTGAAAAAGGAATCAAATAAAAATATCTAAAAGTTTTACAAGTTTGAGAATGAACTATGTAAAGAAAATTCCCTGTAGATAAGATAAATTGATGTAATTTGCTAAAATTATTTATTGCACCACTTCTCATTGGATCAACAATTGGTTTGACAGGATCTTTTAGACATAACATAATAATTGACTATTTGTTGTAATACTTCTTCATCTTCTTCATCATTTACAATGATATTTTGATATTAAAAATTTAATACATGACAATTTGGAAATGATTTTCCGATGCAAATTTCATCACTTCTTTTATTCATCATCGTAATTTCATATATAAAAATTCCAGAAACATGGTCACAAGAATTGAATCATCAAATCAATTATAGTTTCATCAAAATGAGGTTTACATTAGCCAACCTGTTCAGGATAAGATAGTCACATTTCTACAAGGTAGGGTTGATGGAATGTTCCAATGTAAGATCTTCAATTGATTTATTTGCGTGACAATTAATTGAATTTTCATTCGAACGTTCCAATGAATTTCGTTTGTTTGGAATTTTCCAATGGAGGCCATAAATGGCAATATACAGCCATAAATAAATTTCAAATCCGTTATGCCCAAAATAACCAACTCGTCAATATTAAATATTACAACCGGGAATCTGCCGTGGTCAAGGTTTTTTTGACTATTACTATTACTTATTAATTAAAAATATTAATTAGTCTTTGTTTTTTTGTAAATATAAATATATAAAATAGTCCAAAACAATTAATCTAAACTAATCATGACAAAATGAATTTGAACTTTGCCATTTTTACAAATAAAAAATTTCTCCTCTCTAATATATTTAAATACCTTTTTAGGAATTTTATTAATATTTTTTCATTTTTTTCTTTTTAATTTATATTAAAAATATCCTTATTGTACAACCATTCATAAAAAATTAATCAAAAAGCATAAATAATAATATACTTGAATAGATAGACTTTAAAAAATTTCAGGTTTCATAAAAATTTTTTTCTTCTATTCTTCACTGAACAATATTTCTTATAAAAAAATTAATTTAATAAATAGACAAAAATTTCTACATTTCCATTTTCTTTTTACCCCTTACACATTTATTTAATTTACATTTTCTCGTTCACAAATTGATATATTTTTCGAAATGAAACCACTTAATAATAATAACAAAGGTTTGTATAATTTGGAAAATATCTTCTTTTTTATTGACGAAAAAAAATTTTCCAAAGATTTATATATAAAAAAAAAACTCAATTATTTTTATTATTAACTCCCATTAGAAAAATCTTCTATAAGTTTTAGTAAATTATCTTTGACAAAATCAGGGAAAAAAGTATTGAAACAACTTTCTCCAATACTTGTTCCAACTATTACTCCTTCAACCGAAACTTTACCACCTTTAGAACAGCAGTCACAAAAAAAATCAAGTAATAAGGATGACAACAAAATCATAAATAACCATAACCATAGTACCAATAACAATGATGATGATAATATAAATATTGAGATTAGCGACTTTAATAATTATGAGAATAGTGAGAATATCAATGAAAGTATTAGTAATCCTTTGATAGTAATAGATAGATCATCAAGAACTCCCTCACCTTTATCTAATAAAGAAGACGATGGTGAGGACGACAATGATACCTATTATGACAGCGTTTCGCCTTCCTCAATTCAAATAGAATTTAATAATAACAATAATAAGAAATCTATCAATGCTAGCAATACCAGTTTAAATTCTTTATCACCAGCATCACCATCATTATCACCATTAAATTATAATGCTAGCTCACTACCTGGTTCAAATTATAAAAGAAAACATAGTTTACCACCATTAATGGAACTTTTTACCAATCAAAATAATAACTCATCGTTATATCCTTCACCACTATCATCATCACAACCAACACCATATATGACATTAGCAGAATTTAAAGCAAATGATGAGTTTCCACGCCAGCAAAGAACAACTTTAATTGCTTTACAAAGACAAGAAATCAGATTGAAGAAAGAGGGTGTTATAAAAGAAATGAATAAAGCGACGTTGCGTGGAAGAAAAAAAGGTTGGAATTTTGTGATTTTGATTATATAATTAATGATAATGTATAATAATAATATATTAATAAAATGGTGCATATTAAAATGACAATATAGAACGAAAACTTTCCAAAACCAGGGAATCACTAAGTAATAGTAAGCCATCTATCTCAAATACTAGACGCTCTTCTTCTGGTGTTGTTTCACTAAAGTTTTTGGGAATTAAAAAAGGAAAAAAAAGAACCACTTCAGGTAAAATGCTTAAACAAACATAAATACATACTTAATTTCTAATAGTTTAATTTAATAAACAGTCATTTCCTTGCCTATTTTCCTTACATTTTCATAATAGTTTTATTGAAGAATCTAGTACTTGCAATTCGTGATCTTAAAACTTCTGATGCATTGACGATTCTTTCATATTTATCAAGTAGTGCATTAAAAAAGAAATCAGCAGTTGAAGCAAATAAAGCTTTTTTGTTGGCAATGTCAAATCGTTTAGAGGATTTAGCGTTGGCAATGTATGAGCGTGGAATTCCAGGAGATATCAATGCACCGATATTTGTTAAAACTACAAAAAATCCTTTGTCGGATAGAGGGCCACGTACAAATAGTTATTATGGTGGTCATAATAGTGTTGATTGTAATAATAATGGTCGTGGTCGTAGTCGTGGTCATAGTAATGGTGGTGATTCGGACTTTTCAAGTTTAAAATTTCCTAGCTACTTTTTGTTGGCTATTTCACTTGGTCTACACAATTTAGTAAGGGCAATGTTAAAGGTATTTGTTTGATTTTGATTTTGATTTGATTTATTATATAATATATATTAAAATCTCACGAATATATGTTTCCTTGTTAATAAATAAAAGAGGGCAAATATGAATCAAACATGGTTTGGTATTTCTCCATTAATAATTGCAACTGCGCAAGCATCAAAAACACAGTCAGTTGATCGTCGTTGCTCATCCGATACACAATCATTAACAAACGCCGCATTACTTGTTAAGCTATTACTTGACAATGGTGCAGATCCATCTTTAGGTATACCATTGGAACAATTTAATAATGTCAAGAGATTAAAGGCTAAAAAATATATGAAACGCTTAGAATTATTTAATTCTATTCAGTCATCACTTAAAAATAATGGCGCTAATAGCGGTGGTGGTGACCCTCAAAGACTTGCATCTGTTCCACCCCAATTTGGTAGTGAAAAGTCAAAGGAATATTTGGAAGAATTTACAAAAGGAAGATGGGTGTATCCAATAGACATTGCTGCTGTTTCCGGTAATATGGAAGTTGTAAAACTATTGTTATCAAGGTTAGTTTATATATAAGATTTTTTAAAGCAAGAATGGAGACGGTAAATTATTATTATTTGTTAATTATTATTTTTATTATTATTAAATTAATATTACAATTTTAGATTGGACACATCACAAATTGCAAATAGTACATTTTGTTTATCTGTTCATAGAGATGTGATGCTAACATTGGAACTTGTTCGTGCTGGTGCAGATGTTAATCAACGTGATTCAAGGTTAATTAATTAGCTAGTTGGTTTAATTTAATCGAAAACTTTTCTTTTTGGATGTAAATTGACTTTTTTTCCTTTTATTATTGCTGATTATTCTATTTAGAGGTAATATGGCATTCCATCTTGCAGCTCGCTCAGGGCATCACGATATGGTGGTTGTTTTATTACAACTTGGTGCTGATGTCAATGCTAGAGGTGAAAATGATTGGTGAGAGTAAATAAATGTTAAAAAGTTATATATATTTGTAGTATTTACCAAATACTTACCATTACATATTGTTTTAGGACGCCACTTCATGAAGCAATTAGTCAAAAACATTTAAATATTTGTTCTATGCTTGTTACAGCTGGTGCCAATGTAAATTTGACAAATGGCAAAGGACAAACTATCAAAGAATTGGGAATTGAGACTGGCTTAACGGAAAAGCAGATTGAAGAGTGTTTGGGTTGGTTTCGATTATCATTTTAACGTATGATCATTATATTAACCTATGTCCTGATAAATTTTTAGTAATTTTATAATTTCATAAAACGTATCATTTAATTACAGATAACAAAGAAAATTTACAAAAAGAAAAAAAAACAAAAGCTAATTTAACAGCATCAAAAAATGATATATTATCATCATTTAAATCTGTTGATTCAACCTTCTCATCATCGTCATCACTTGCTTCATCAAATTCAAATTCATTATCAACATCACCTTCATCATCAACTTCTTCAACATCGTTATCAGCCATAACAACAACAACAACTAATAATAATAATAATAATAACAACAACAACAACAACAACAACAACAACAACAACAACAACAACAACAACAATAATAATAATAATAATAATGGTGCATTATCATCATCGTCTTCTTTTTCAACAACTAAATATAATCCTTTAAGTATGAAGTTTTCAACCTTTCCTAAAAAAACTCAAAATAATCTATCGTCAATCTTATCATTGACTGGTATTGAAAATTTAAAATCAAAATCAAAAAACATTAGTTGATGATACACAAATATACATATTTATTTATATAAATGGACAGATAGTGGTTGTTTAAAAAAAATTTCCACATATTTATTGTAATAATTAATATAATATCAACCTAATTTTTTTTTAATAATATATAATTAATTTAATATATTTTTTTTTGTATATATTACCAATAATATATTTTTTTAGATTTTATATGCATTCTTTTAAATTAATATCCTAATCTTATAGACAAATGATTAAATATTTCATTTATATAATAATAATAAGGTAAATTACTTGAATTATCAAGTAATACTTTTGGTGTGTCTTGGGCGTCTGGTTTATTGATATAATATTTAAATATAATCGATTCAAATAGTTGATAATTATTACAATTGTTATTACTGATAATTGTAGCTTTGTTTGAGTTCACGGGTTGAGGAAGATTGGTAAATTTAATAGTCTGCTGGCATAAACAGCATTTGGATGTAATCCAATTTTTTCCAATCGATTTTAATTCATCAACGTAATTCTTTATTATCATAATATGCTCCGTGCCAAGCCAAACAATATCATTTATTAGGATCAGCATTCATACATTTATATGCTAAACCATGTAAAATCTTGGCAGTATTAGTATTGTTATTCCCATACATAATTTTTTTATAGGGATTAAAATTGTGAAGCAAAAATTTTAGAGATTCATTGTGAATACGAATTTAGTAATTCGTTGAAACAAAGATTACAAAGAGAAATTAATTTATTGGATTTCAGATATTAAATTCGAGGTGTGACAAGAAAGAAAGCAAATAAGTGGTAGCATATATCCAACATAATCATCCTAAAAAAGAAATTCAGCTACCCAAAACCAAACACCACGATCCTGAAACTGATTTTGAAACAATGGATTAATTTATTTATATTAATATTCATTCAAATTTCGTTGATTCATTCAGAGCCTTAACTAATATTAAGTTTTGATATCAACATTGCTACATCATACGTACAAAATTTGATATAGAATTATTATTCTCCTCTTGGTCCCAATACTAACTTTCCCACAACTAATAAACTAATAAAACAACAATATACAGGCGACTAAGCATATAAATGAAAACAAAAAATATATTTATACATCATCAGTTGTAAGTTTTCAATATCGCAGATAACAATATCGTAGCACAGTGGCTTTTCCAGGTACCTTCATTAATTGGTTTATCCTTTTTAACATTTCTTCATGATACTGCAGCAGCAAAATGCCCATAATAATTACAGAAGAAGCATTTTGATATCACCTCTCCATGGTGAATTCGTGCTTGGTATTACTGCTTGGTCCGCTGAGTATAACTTTCCTGGCGAAACTGGGTTCTGCAAAAACGATAGCTAAAGTAGTTTAATGGTATTTGTTAGTAATAAAGATTTATAATAAAAAAAGAGATTTATACAAAAATCCCTTCCTTCAACCCATCCATCTTCCTCATCAATAACTAAACGAAATAACAGTTATGATGATACTCATTTCGAATTTTTCGGTTCTTTGTTTTCTTTGTTGTCGTTTGTTATTATAGCAGTCGGACGATTCGTCACACAAACTAAAACCGATTTTCAGTGTTTTTTCCGTGATCAACATCGAATTCTATTAATAAAATTACAGTCTACTCTCTCTATAACGACCACTAAGTTAAATTTCTCTATAACGAACTTCCCTTTTGTCCCGTTTCAATTTTTTATAATTAATTTCTCTCTCTATAACGACCAAAAGAGGGTTCGTTATAGAGAGAGTGAACTGTAGCTACAAACCTTAATTTTTCCCAGACGTCCTGAAAAATCTATGCGTGGGAAATTTCAAGGTTTAAAAATCGAAAAACTCTTAAATTATTATTATACAACGTACCTAAATAAAAAGATATGTTTTCGATTCGTCTTTTGATACTCTTTAAACGTATAGAGAGATTTTTAGATTTTTATTTGCAAAAAATTTTGCGTCATATATACATAACTTTGCTTTTTTTTGTTTAACTTAAAATAAATGTTATAATTTATATTGAAATCAAAAAAACTCTCTATAAAGGCATCACCCCATCCTTCTAATATATTTTAAACTTAATTTGAAGCATGCATCTCTGTTATCCAAAGAGATATTGTCGTTCAAAGTTTACTATTAAAAAGGATCTGCAAGAAATCTTTAAATATGATCGATCACCATATGATTAAAAAAATTTTCATCAAAATATTATGAATTTCCAAGAAAATAATTATAATTCCAGTAATAATAGTGAAAGTAGAAGTGGTGAATTTGGTGCTGGTGGATTTGATGAAAATAATACCTTTTCTAATGATAGTAATAATCGTTTAGGCGAGGAAACCCTTGAAGAATTAGAAAAATCTTTAAATCCTCCACCGATTGATTATTATGGAATTCTAAATGTTTCTAAAGAGGTCAGACTCGCTTTTAGAATGTATTTCTGAAATATTGAGGCGTCAAATATATTTTTCTTCATATGTCCAAATCTGTATTTACATTTATCGGTTTTAATCGATCTAATTCTAAAAAAAAATTTTTTTTAGGCCACCGAAAATGAAATAAAAGATTCTTACAAAAAATTGTGTAGAACTTTTCATCCTGATAAACACTTAGATCCGGAAAGTAAAAGTACCGCGGAGAAAAATTTTCAAATAATTCATAAAGCTTATGAAGGTTTATCTTAATACAATTATATTATGATAATAAATTTTTTTTTGTTTTGATGTTGTAATTAAATAATTTACGATTATATATAGTTCTTACTGACCCTACAAAAAGAACAATTTATGATATGTTTGGCGAAGAAGGTTTAAATACTTCATGGGAAGTTGGCTATCGATACAAAACTCCTGATGAGGTTTGCATACATATACATCTATATTAAATAATTTAAGTTATTACTATGCTATTTTTTTTTTTTAGTAATTAATATTTTTATTTTTGTTTTTTTTAGCTTAGAGAAGAGTTTGAAAAAAAAGCGAGAGCTCAAAGAGAAGAAGATGCAGAGAATTTAGTTAGATCAAAGGTAACTAATGAATGAATGTTTTTTGGAAAGGTTTATTAATGAAATATTAACTAACTTATCACTAATGAATCACTCAAAGGGTGACATTGTTTTAAGTGTTGATGCAAGACAATTATTTGATTCGTATGATATCCAAAGGTATAACATTGAGAAAAAGGAGAGATTTAAATTTAATGACTTATTTGAAAAAGTTGAAATAACTCAATTATACCTGAAGAACTCTTTTGAGGTAACTAATTTTTTAACTATTCTTTTTTCTATCTCTTAAATGTCTTTTTTGCTCAACAAATACAAATACAAATACAAATACTAATACAAATACCAATAATACCACAACAATTACCCTTCATTGCCGCATTTATTATTTTCTTTAGACTCAATTCCAACCTGAAACAAATGGAATCATTGTTGGCCATACAGTTTTACGTAATGGAATTGGAGGTGGAAATATTGTCGGAACATTAAGGCACACATTTTCACCAAGTTTTTGGGCAGAAGTATGTTGAAATTATAAAAAAAGAGATATCTATCCGTATGTTTTGTTTTTTTGCTTTTTTTTATTTAGTAATTATTAAATTTCGTACAAGTTTTTGAGAAAGATTGTCTGTCTGTATCACTCTCTTTCTCTCTGTGTGTGTGTGGCTGAATTCGACTCGCATATTAGGTTGGCGCATCTCTTATTGAACCAAGATTGCTGACTGTAAAAGGAACTTATAACATTGATAATGATAGGTTGGTGCATAAAACTAAAACTTGAATTGAAAAATAATGTATAACAAGTATTTATCTCTTTTTCACACTCAAACAATTATAAAATAGTTTTATCACATGTTTTGGAGACGCCAATACAATCTATGCCCCTCCAACGTTTGAAATTACTGCTGGTAGAAGATTAGGTGGATTTAACACTGGTTATCTAACCTATAAAACTGGTTCATGGATATTAGGACCTTGGGGCAGAAGATATTCGGCGGGTGGTTTACGAGGTCGTGTTGGTGCTAAATCTGCTGTCGCAATTGGTATTACCGGAGCAAATGATAGTAAAACTGGTTATGGATTGGAATTACAAGTATGCACATGCATTATTTGCATAAAAAATAAATTGTTGTATATATTTATTGATTTTATAATTTATTAATTATTTTAGACTGGAATAACGCAATCACATCTTTCTGCTAATTATAACATGAAAGTATTTGATGATTATCAGTTAAGAGTTTCAACAACTTTATCTACATCAAGTGGCCTGACAAATACTATAATGGGTGAAAGAAAAGTTACCAATAGCACAAAAGTTGCTTTAGCTATCGATTTTGGAATTCCTACTGGAATTATTTTTAGATGCAGGTAAATTGATTGATTGTTTCATAAAAATTAAAAAAGTATTCGGAAAAAATTTTTATATTTATTAATTGTGTTGTCTTTTCTGGGGGGTTATTTTGAAAAAAAAAGGTTTAATCGTTTAGGACAAAAAATTTCTATTCCAGTACACGTGACTTCTGATTTAGATTTTAGATTTATTTTATTTGGCACTTTAGTCCCAGTCGTTTCAATCGTTTTCACGGAACAAGTTATATTAAAACCAAGACGTAAAAGAATAATGGCAGAGTGAGTGATTATTATCATTTCATTACTACAATTACATAATACATAATAACAATCATAATATATCATCACTATAATCAATCAACCAACTAACCAAGCATTAACATAACATTTTAGGAAAATAGCAGCATTAAGACAACGTCATTCCGAATATATACAAAGTCGTAGACAAGAAGCAGAAGAAGCAATTCGTTTGATGAAGCCATCTGTCGAAAGAAAAATTGAAACAGAACATGCAAAAGATGGTTTGATAATTTTGGAAGCTTGGTATGGCAATTTGTCTGATGGCGATGCTAGTGTTATCGCGAGAGGTGATAGTAATTTTGTTAGTAGTGGTGGTGATGGTGGTGATGGCAATGGGTCGTCGTCATCATCGTCGTCGAGTGCACGTAAAGATGTTTTTGATGTGAGAATACCTGTACAAGCTTTGGTACACGAATCACAATTATCTATACCAGGTGGTTACTCAAAGGTAATTAAATCAATTATTTATTTATTTAATCTAATACAAAATAAAATAAAATTTAATTCAACCATTATTTTCATTATGGGAAAAAAGTCTAATATTTTAGGTTTTTATGATCCATGTATGGGAGAGAAAAAGAAATTAAGAATTAGGTATCAGTTTAAACGTAAGATACATGAAGTTATTGTGGATGATAGATCAACTGTTGTATGTCCTTTACGATGTAAGTAAACTATTTTTTTTTTAATTTTAATTTTTTGAAAACATATTAATACTGATACTATTTATTATTGTTGTTTTTATGTTTATGATTATGATAAAATAATATAGCTCATGTTATATCTGGTTAAAAAATTTTTTGAATAATGATAGAATATTACTGGTAGTAGTAATAATAATAATAATAATAATAATAATGTATTATTTTTAAATTAAATCAAAAAAAATATCTATATATTTTTATTCAAAGTATTATTTTCTTTCATCAAATAAAAGATACGCAGTTTACTCTGTTGTTCCCTTTCCGTCTTTAATAATTTGGTAACAATTATAAAAAACTTGGTAATTTGAATTATTATTAGTATTAGGGTTGTTATGGTCCTCTCACTTCGATTATGAGTTTGACAAACTGAGTGATTCAACAAAAGTAGTATATCTAATGCTATCATTTGCACATCAGAACTTCCTCAGGATGACTTCCCAGGCTTTGATTCCTTAAACTCGTTCATCATCCGTTGGGTATTCAAAGGTCAACGCACAGGTTACAGGTTGAGCATATTGTTTGTAAGGTAGGCATTTGCAGGGAGATGTTCATCCCAGAATAAGTTAAAGCGGCCAGAGTTTTGATAACCCCATTGGACGATGACTCGACCATAGATGCTTGCAAGAGGAATTTTTACATTTGCCTTGGAAGGAGTATGTATGTATATATTCAATTTAAATTAATCTCGATAGTTAGTTATCTATTTACCATCGAGGTTTAAGCCTTCTACCATGATTTTCCATGGGGGGAGGAAGCTTGCCATCACTCACGATTGTATCGATGGGTGTGCCATCTGGAATCCGAGTATTCGTCTTTTCATATTTCCTCCCGTTTGACAAATAGATAGTATAAATTTTTTATTTAGTAGAATTGATAATATTTGCAAAAAAGAAAAAAAATGATGATTTAAAAAGATACGTGTAAAACTGCATCATCATTACACGCCGTACTAATACTCGATGATAACGGTTCCGTTAAAAACTTGTTTACAAAGAAAGTCATTACTGAAGGTAACCTTCAACAAAGCCAAATCCAGAAACTTGGTTGTTAATAAAGTTTTAAACTTCTCTTAATCGTAAAATATTTCGCTCGCTTTCAATAATAAACTTGCACGGTAATTTTTGCTTGTGATGATCGACAAACATAAACATGGCACCTTCTGTAAGTAGATGTTGTTTTCTGTAAGAAACAACCATTCAATGAAAACCTCACCGTTAGTAATTATAAATGTTTGCAAATTTCATTTATATATCAACACTAAATTATTTTTCATTTTGTTTAATAGTATCGTTCTGAGTTACTTTCACCAATAGAGACAGATTCCGCACCTTCAAGTCAAGAAGATGAAGAAGATGAAGATGAAGTTAATGATGGCGACGATAATGACGGTATTAATAATGACGACGGAGAAAATTATGACGAAGAGGATGAAATTGATGGTGATGGAGGTGTTTATGAGGATGTTGATGTTGATGATGTTGATGATGTTGATGTAGATGGTGGTAGTGGCATTGAAGAACAAACATTATATGAAGAATATTTAATACTGAAGGCTAAACATCGATATATTCAAAAAGAAAATGAATTATTAGCTGATGAATACCAATTAATCAAAAAGAAATTAAAAAGATTAAAAATAGAAAAGGTTATTTTATTAGATGCTGTTATTTCAAAATCCAATAATGATAATAATAATGATATAAATCAATTAGAAGATTAACAACAATAATACTTTTATCATTAATTTAATTACTATTACTCAACACATAAAAATAAAGCAAATATTTTGAGTTTTGACTGGAGACAATCGATGCTCGATGGAAATATATTGTAAACGTACTTTTAATTATCACTTTGATTCGTAAGTTCTTAGCATTGACTTTAGATAAATAAAATTGTCATTTCTTTTGAACAATTATATATTTTGGACAGTCTAATTATCTTTTTACTTTTCTAGAAACATAAATCATATCCACAATGCCTTATGCTCGAGAAAAATTTTGGACAACTATTGAAAGGAAATTAAATCTGTTATTTATAAAAAAGGAGAAATAGCTTTGTTTCTTTTTACTTGGAAGAGTGTTTTTTTTCAAATAAATAAACGAGTTGTTTAAAATGATCTGATACATTCAATTAACAATCAATTAAATCAAATGAATTTCAATCTTCATGCCTTTGGTCTTTACCCACGATCAGGAAATTAACAAGTTCAAATGCAATTGTAAAATAAATAAACACCACACATAAAACATATTAAGGCTTTTGTTTGTTTAGCTTATAAAAAATTATATAATTTTTTTTTTAGATATTATAGATATTATATATCACGATAAATGATAATTGAATATTATTGAGCATCAAGAAGATTACCTGATTGGCTGCCAATTTCTAATAACGACCTTTAAAAGGTAAAGAGCTTGCAAACTAACCAAAAAAAACGAGAGATTATGTATATTTTACTTATAGTCATGTACAAATTTAACAGGTACTAATTCACGTTGAACTTTTAACAGATCTACTTCAGTAGTTAGTTGAGTAAACATGCATGTCTTTTAATAACTTTGGTAATTTAGAGCCGTTTTCCAAAATCTTTTTTGTTCCCTTATATAAACGTCCAGACCAAATCTCAAATCTGAAGAAATACGTAGTATCAAATCTGCCTTTCGACCAATTTTCCATCTAGCCAATTAATTTTCTGTTATTTACCAGAAACTGTAGTATGACCTGACCTAGAGGACAGACTCTTCACGAACTTCCATATCCATGATATCTGGAAAGCATTGATCTAAGTAAGATGGATCCTCACAGATTGACATCTTACCATTGCTCTAGATGATAATCCAGGCCCATATCCCTTAATGATAGCATGCATCGCAAATTACCTAATCTATTTCACAAATATTGGCTGTCTAAATTGCATCATTATTATTGTCAAAGATCATCTACTAGTTTTTTTTTTGCAAATGGTCAATCAAATCTTTTGGAATTTTCGAAAGTTCATAATTACGGATTTCTTTGTTATTTTATCATTTGCATAAAAGTGAAATAATCATCTGAATCTAGAGTAAACTATCACGCATATTTGGACTAGGAAAATCAACCTCTCAGCTGATTTTTTTATTTTGAGTTTTCTTAATATTATACAAGGATTATTGTTTGCGTAGTAGAGGAGATATTAAAAACATGTGTAACCAATTTTAAAAAGGATTGTTACTAAAAATAGATTTTTTGTCCGAGAGGTTGATTTTCCTCGTATGTTCTGAAGCACCATGTTTTTAAACATTGGACTTGACCTTTATACTTTTTAACCATGATATGTTCACAAGGAGAGATGGCACCATCATCATTATTGTTATTTCCGCGCTTAATGTTATCACTGACATCATCATTACCGTCTTTATTACAAATTTTTATCAAGTTTTTTAAAATTTTTTTTTACTAATCCTAGAGTCAAGCCTTTTATTATTAGCAATTCATGGTACTATTACATGCAAGTATGAGACTTCCTGGCTTGTGGATGTTTCTACTTTGTTGTAATTAATGATTTCCTCGTTGTCTGTCCTTTTCATCATTATTATTAATTGAACGATCACTTGAACAGAGGGCATTCACAGATCATCAATTAATATAGTTACTAATAAACTTACAATGCCTCCAATAATCAATCGCTTTGTTATAATTTTCAACTTTTCGGGACTTATTCGTTTCGAAGAACATCAAAAAATTACAATAAAATTTGACCATTATTTTAGTCCCATAACAATAAGACTTGCTCTGAAGACGATCACGTTTATCAAATTCCAGTCATATGATTTTGTTTTTGGATTATTAATTTCATGTAGATGAAATTTTTCTGTATTACCATTCCCATCTTTTTTCTCTTTTTCTCAAAACTTCTCGAGCTCTAGGATTATTATTCCTTACGACTCGTTATTTTTCTAAAATATATATATTTTTTAATGTCTAACGCGCAATTTACCTTGGCTATTCAGGCAAGTATATTAATCGAAGACAAAAAAAAAAGGTTCAAAATACTAAACATGTTTGTTTTTAATAGCTTTAATCTCGTACTTGAAGGAGATTTGGCGTTAAAAGAAGAATTCTGGAATCTACATGAGTTCAAGCAATCGGAAGTAGGACACCTCTTAATAAATATTTCTGGGAATGGCTTTCCACATGAAATTAAAAATGGAATAATGTAATGGTTGGAAGAGGGATATGACGGATTTTATTTTAACCCCTATCAACAAGAAGGTATATTCAACCAGGGTTGGCAAATTGACTGGTTGAATGGATTTTGGACTGGTCCATTGCCATTAATAGAATACTAAATATGGTTATGGACCGTACATTTGCCAACCCTGTAAAAGCAAGCTCGGGGAAAGGAATTGCCATCGAGTTTGACAATATTAAAACGGAATGCATAAAATTAAATGGAGTTCATGATAGTTGGCAAGAGGCTACTCGAATCTCACGATCATTGATGAAAAAACCAGAAGACGAAATTTTAAACCTCGAAATTAGTGATCATTACCGCCCAAATCAAAAGACAGTCCGTGAATAGAGACAATGCGCATGCTTTTTTTTCAATCACACAGAAAATTCATGGATGTCTACCAATAATGTGGATTTATTAACCTGGTGGAAAAGTAATTTTGGAGAAGATAAGCAAGAAACGCAACGACTATTTAGAGCCTTTAATGAAACAAAATGATGCAGATTTGAAATGTATAAGCTCTCTTGTTGGGACTGATGTTCTAGATCAGTTTTCCATTGTTGTTTTGAGAGTGAAGTTGCATCGTCTAATTAGAAGAAGGGTTTATTGTACTAATATTCAAGGTTGGTAAATGTGCGGTCCATTGATGGTCCATTAGTATAACACTTTAACCATATTTAGTATTTTATTAACGGCAATGGACCAATCAATTTGCCAACCCTGCTAATATTAGCCATTGAAAAAAGTTTTTGAAGCAATTTTTTTAATTTTATGTATGTGGGAATGTGTAATTGTTCATTGAAAAATAAAATTGTAAACCTCTGCGTCATGACTCAGGAAAATAAAAATCAAGATTTGGCACTGATAACCTCGCAAATGGATTAATAGTTAATTACAAAATGCAATAAAATTTTTTATTTTAATATTCTGTGATCAAAATGCAATATACTTTTAACCACATATCCATCCCTTATGAAATCATGTCGTTTACTTTCGGCTTTTCTTCATATTCATCCGTTTTATGACGGTAATGGTCACGTTGGTCGTTCACTAATGGCATTATATATTTCACATGCTGGCTATCCACCTCCAATTTTTCAACAACTTTGTCGAAAGTATATGCAGATGCGTTATATAAAGCTCAGGCACAAAAGGATCCGATTCCGCTATATGAGCAATTTATGATGTTATAGGATCATATTCTTGGTTACCCCTCTGAATAGTAAAAAATTGATAGTCAATTAATTTATTTTATTATAAAATTTCTTCGATTTTTTAACAATATAAATATTAGTATATTTGTAAGAAAAAAAAAATATACAATATTATATATGCATTTGAAGTTTTAATTTATTCAATGAGACCAAAGTCTCGAAGATGCTATGGAATAACTACATATGAATCTTCGTAATACCAAACATATATCTTAGGACAAACCAATTTTCTTCACACAATTCTTTCTTGACTTGATCTCTCTCTTGCTGTTGAATAAAATTAATGGGATCCATGCGAAAGAATTTCCGTGTTGTTTGCCTTGCATTTCAATTGCGAAACCACACTGTGGATAATAAATATCAAGATGTAATCCAGTTCAGTGCTTTGGAATTTTAAGAAAGTCAGGTTAACGTATTTTAGATGGTGGTCCAAGATATTTTGTTACAATTTCACGGCACAAATTCTCTTTTTTATATTTTAAACAGTAAGGGCACCAAGTTTCTCTCTGAATTAAATCAATTCGAGTAATCTCCAAGAGAGTGGAGTATGTCTGTTATGAAATACATGTTCCACGCTTTTTGTTTGCAAGACTCTAAGCGAATTCAAGTCCAAGTTTCTTGCACTCATGACACCAACATTTATCATTTTGACATCTCTAAGGGATAAACGAAATTGATATTATTTTCGCATTCCCATAATAATTCTCAGAAATACATCTTCCACCTTTAGGACATGCTAATTATTTGGCTATAAAATAGTAAGTTTTCTATTTGCGCAATAAGGACATCATGAATGGTGATTTTTGATAGATCGAAATGAACAATTCGATTGATGGTTTTTATTGCATTCCAGAGAGCATTGGAATTATATTCTTTGGAAAGACACTTTCCTCCATGATATCCTGCTATTTTTATTAAAAATAATTTTTTAGGCATTGCGATTAATAATAATGTGATTCTTAAATAATCATATTACTTTTCAAATATTGTGCAGTATTACAATCTGCATAAACTAGATATTTATGGGTGAGCAAATCCCACGATACGAAGAGAAACAATTATAAACATGGTTAACCAGGAAACCTAAGATGTCATTACCTCGATTTGTACATATATAATTATGAGAAAGATATTAATTGCTGGATTAAGAAAAAAGTTGAATTTTTAGTCATCAGGAATTACTCAAATATAATCGAGTCATTCGGAAATTAATGCAGAAATTAGATGGGGATTATGAAGAGCAGATTAAGTCAAATGAAAGGTAATAAATTTTCACCAGATCATCCATTTAGGTTACTAGTTCGTGGAAGTTCTCATAGCGGAAAAACAAATATGGTTATTAACCTTATGCTGGATAATAAATTACAATGAAAGTTTAATGGTAAAAAAGGAAATCGCTATATAAAAAATGATGATCTTATATTTTGAGCCAAAATGGAAGTTAGTACCAGATCTTTGCAAATGGACCAAAACAATATCTAGAAGATGTCACATTTAAAAGAATAGCACCATATAAGATTCTGGGTATAACTAAATTTTCATCAAAATGAAGTACTGTTGTAACGTTTGAAGATTTATGTATCAAACCAAAAAAAACTCAAGAACGAATTATTCCTTACTTTAGTGGATGACATCAAAATACACTGCCTGGAAGAAAGTATCGGAACCTCACTTTTTTATCAATTACACAAAAACCTACATAATAACTATAAATAATCATGTAGCTTAGGTCTTGAAGAATATTTATATAAAATCTCATGATATTTATTTTTTGGTTAAAAAAAAATAATGACGATCATCAAATTTTTAAAAAATAGAAACAAAAGTTAGTATTTTGTTGGCTATCCATTATTGGATATGCATGCCTCGATTCTTCTTGGAATACTTTCGATTAATTTGTTATAAACTTTTTCAGGAATGTTAGACCATCCCTCTTGCAAGGCAATCTCCAATTCTTGAGCATTTTTTCACATTATTTTAATCTTCTTTCCAACTCATCCCAAAGATGCTCAATTGGATTGAGATCAGGAGATTGCGATGGCCAATTAGACAAAATGTTTATGCTGTTATTGCTTATCCAACTTTGCACATTTTTTGCAGTATGCACTGGTGCATTGTCATCCTGAAACTTGTATGCTCTACCACAAAATTTTGTTATTAAAAGGCAACAAATTTCTTAATCAATTTTTTATCATTGTTTGATTATTTTTAATAACAAACTCTTTACTAATAGAAAAGACATAAAATTTCGATCAATCATTCTTTAGAACTTAAACTACAAAATAACAGTTCTATTTTTTTTTTTTTATGTAAAATTTTGCGAAAATACAAATTCAAAAAATATCCAAAAATGAAAATCGCGAATTTGATTGAGGTTTGTTTTTTTAAACCAAAAAAATAAATATGAATGATATAAGCGTGGGATTTTATATAAATATTCTTCAAGACCTAAGCTATATGTTGATATAAATTTTATTTATAGTTGTCATGTAGGTTTTTGTATAATTAATAAAAAATGAGGTTCCGATACTTTCTTTCAGGCAGTGTATCTCTTCTATTTATGTAAGTCAGAAAAACACACAAACACCTAAGATAATTCGTAAAAATATTACCCATTTAGCTTTATTCTGTGGGAGTGGTAGTCAGGACGACATTTACAGGTGATCCAAAAAACATCCAAGATCATAGATAAACATTTACAAGAGCAAGAATTTGTGGTCTTTGGTTTTACTAAACCAGTAGATGATCCTCTAGCAGTCAGGCTCAGATAGAATACGCCATTAACATTAGATAAATAAATTATTGCTTCATAGATGCAAGTGTTTTTTCTTCATGTTGTAATCCTAACTTTTTTTCTTTGATTTCACAACATAGTTTCTTATTTGCTTCAAGCCTCGTCTCATACTCAATATTGATTTTCTGCATGAAAGAATTAAATATGAATTGGCTCATCTGGATATGTCGCTGTAAATCATCTATCACCTCATTCACTCAACATTTGTTATTCTTTTCTTGATTACAAGCAGGTGGCAGGGGTATGTTAGTAAGAGAGGTTATATCTTGTAATTTACTTTCCTTATCTATAATTATACATGGGATGGTAATTATTTTGCCAAAAACGTAATACGTAATACGTAATTACGAAATTAATTACGAAATCAATT